CGCATCATTATGTGGCCTCAGGGCTGCCACCGGAGGTGACTGCAGGGACACCTTTCCACGCGCGACATGGCACTACAAACACCCCGGTATTATATACAACTGTTGATCAGAGCAGCCGCTCAAGACGCTACGCAAGAGTTAGGGCTCCTAACTACCAGTCGGAAACAGCAACCAGAGAACTGTCAGCCGTGTACCCTCAGAATGAAGAGATGTTGCCACAGACTGCACGCATCACGGGAGAAACAGACCTGCACTAATACAGAGGCTGGAGAGAAGACAGTACTGGGGAACCCCATCCTAGACAAGAAACAAGGTGTAAGCCTCTACTCATGTCCAATAGAAGGAGGAGGTTGACCGGGCGGTAGAAGGGACTACCTACTCCTATTACAGATAACACAAAAAAGGACGACACAAAACAGAGGGAAGGATTGGAGGGGGAGATAACAGGTAAGGAGTCCTGGTTAACAAATGGCTATACTCTATTACATTAAGTTTTAACTTAGTATAAGTCCCATTGTCTATTCTAAAAAGAAATTGAAAATACGGTTACCCGGATTTATTATCACATCCAGTAGAAGACATTCAATTTTCCATTTTTCTAGTTTTTTACTTTGTTAACATTTCGGATCGGGATTCCTTACTAAATTATCAAATAAGTAGCATCATTGGGACAAAATGCCTTTCGGTAGGGGGGAGGGAGGGGAGGAAAAATAAAAAATTTTAAAAAACGGAAAAAACGAAAAAAAAAAAATATATATATATATATATGCAAATCTCATTGAAAACGACTGACAAGGTTGAGTTTTTTATATAATTTCTCTTCTGTTCGTATATTTTTTTCTTTTCAGGACATAAATTATATATAAATGTCCGAATGTTTTCTAAGCGCTTTGGGCTATAATTTTAGCCATTATCCAGGATGAATTTTACATAATTTTTTTTATTGAATATATGCATTGTTTTATGTATATATCTAGGGTTATAGGAATGTTTTATTTTCCAAACACGGGTTTGTGACCGGGTTCATAGTTGAGGTTATTGAATGTTGGCTTTTTTTATATTAATAATGCTTCCATTATTTTAGCCTTGTTGTACATGTGAATGAAGCTATTATATTTGTATTATCAACGACTATATTACTGATAGAGTTTGATAGGTCTCCATGTGTATTTAAAGAAGACCTAATTGATCTATGTAACGTGAGACATCTTGTTAAACATATTGTAGTATATCCAATATAATTACAAATTTGGATTGGTCAGAGAAATTATATAAAAACATTAAACACTACACCTTGTCAGTTGTTTTCAATGAAACTTGTATAAGAAAGATTACTACCCAAATAAACAATATATATATATATATATATATATATATATATATATATATATATATATATATATATATATATAATTACATATATATCTACGTTGACAGTACGACTCAGAATTTTTATGGTTTTTCCATTCACCAGGTACAAAAAAGTTATGAACTGTTCAATAAGTTTTTTAAACTTGATAAATGTGAAAACCATGAAACTCTGAGTCGTACTTTAAACATAGATATATGTGCAAGTATTAATATATACTTTATAGCTCTGTTTAACTACAACGAGCACTGTTTTGTCTACACCAATGATTAAATAAATAGTTATTTACTCATCTGTATATGTACATAATCAGTCATATATATATGGTTGATCATATGTTTTTATTTAGATCATTTCTACATCTATCTATCTATCTATCTATCTATCTATATATATATCTATCGAGCTAGCTAGCTATCTATCTATCTGTGGTAACCTAGGGAAGGTTACTGAATATAATAATTAAACGAAGGTTGGTAATAAACGATAATACTTAGGACACGAACAACATATATAAGATTCGCCAGCGGAGCGTAGAAGCAGTCAACTGCTAGAAGTGAGTCAAGTGAATTTCACAATGAATCTCCGACTGCAGGATCTCTACTAACCGCCCTACGCGATCAGATATAGCACAAGGCCGAATTTAATGTTGGGTATCCGATCCCGTAGCTCGGCTAAAAATTCCCCGTAGACCCCTTATAAAATGGGGTCGGGTAGCTGTTTCTCTAGACGAGACTCTGCCCTTCGACATAGCCTCGTCTTGGGATCCTCTCTGTCCAGAGGCAGAGATTTTGACCAGCACAGCTTGAGTCGAATCTCCAACTGCGGATCAGCATACAGTCTTTACTACTGTATTTATGTGAATGGGGACATGTCCATTATCGTCCGTAGGTATGCTACAACACTATCTATCTATCTATCTATCTTGGAACTTGAAGAGGGGAATTAACAGGAGATAACTGATAACTGTAATCCATTAGACATGTCACGTGGATCTAGAGCAGTCTACCCCAGAGAGCGAAATAAAGGGTTCAGTTCGACATTCCAACCTCCTGAAGAAGTCCGGAGCGTACAACGTTGAGATAAATATGGCAACAAAGATGAGGATGATAGTCCGAACAATGTAAATAGTGTACATAATACCTCATCTCAGAAATATAGCCAGATATCTATCTATCTCTCTTTCTCTCTCTCTCTCTCTATATATATATATATATATATATATGTAAAAGACACTAGGAAAACTGTAATGGTAGCCGACGCGTTTCGTCCAATGTGGACTTTTTCAAGGCAAAAACGAAATGAATTTATTAAACAAAGTAACTAATAATAACAAAACGAAATTTCCTTAGCAACTGGAAGAATTTAGAGAATGCTATTTTCATACTCTTTACTTTGTTTAATAAATTCTTTTCGTTTTTTGAAAATCCAGATTGACGAAACGTCGGTTAATATGTACAGTTTTCTCAGTTTTCCTATTGTCTTTACATTTATAAATATTATCTTTTTCTACAGGTTAACTCTGAGAAACTTTTCATATATATATATATATATATATATATATATATATATATATATATATATATATATATATGAAGATTTCTCCGATTTAATCGGTAGAGAAGACAATATTTATGAATAAAAATGACAATAGGAAAACTGGTAATTGCTGACGCGTTTCGTCCAATGTGGACTTTATCAAAGCAAAATACGAAAATGAAATTAAATGAACAAAGTAACTAATAAAAACAAAAACAGAATGTACCTAGCAACTGGAATGTAGAGAATGTTAATATGTTAAAGAAAATGACCTAAAGAAAATTCAAAATTTAAACATATTTACATTGGGATTTCCGCGGGTGAATGGAAACAAAGACTTTATAACCATTATATTATTAAATATACTAGACAATGAATGTCTATTATGTCTGATCATGAGCCTTTCTAATGTTTGAATGTTTGCTTTTATTTCTGGTAAAAATAAAGACAAAAATTGCCAACATTTCGATATTTTGTTGGTCCTAAGCTGTCGGCTCACATGAGCCATCCATAGAGTGGTTATACAGACATGAAACAACGATATTCCCCGTCAAACATATTTTGTTATTTTGACATAGAAGAATGCTATGCGACGTTAACGGTCGCTGAATAGCAGGCGCAGATTGTAAGTTCAAGATGCGGTTCTATGACGTCATACCACGCGATCGACCAAATGTCTAGATGCAATGTAATGTGTTGTGACGAGTTTGAAATGTAATTCTGTTGAGTGTGGGTTGCTTCGTTTTAATGTAGATGGCCTCCAATATCTGAATGGGTTCTTTTTCTGTGTGTATGTATGAGTATTATTAGAAAAGGTTTAAAGTTAAATCTGGAGCCAGTTGGTTCCGGGACAGTTAATTCGATTTTTAATATATATATATATATATATATATATATATATATATATATATATATATATATAAGTAGAATTAAAGGTCCCGGAAACAACAGAATCTGGATTTAATTTTAAAGCTTTTTAAACTTTATTTAATAGTATATAGTAACTTAAAAATAAAATATAAAATATATAATAAATTTTATAAAATACACATACGCATACATAGATAGATAGATATGAACAGACTGAGATAGATAGATAGATAGATAGATAGATAGATAGATATGAACAGACTGAGATAGATAGATACATTGATATGAACAGAATACAGCAGATAGATATGAACAGAAATAGATAAATAGATAGATATGAACAGAAATATATATATATACACACACACACACAGAGAGAGAGAGAGAGAGAGAGGAACAAATTTAGAAGTATACCTAGCATTGAAAGCCGGTGAGATATTCATTTATGCGTAACGTTTCTTGTGCAAGTACATCTGGCTGAGCCAATCCTTGCACATGACACGCTACTCATGAATGAATACTTCTCCAGCTTTCAACGTAGATATCTAGAGAGAACTAATCAGGTGCTCATTTGATGCAGCGACTCTATGACCCACACTGAGTAATAATAATAATAATAATAATAATAATAATGATCCTAAATAAGCGCGAATAAAGCCATTGAGTATGAAAATGAAAGCAATAAGCGTCAACAGAAAATAAATGACAATAATTCATTAAGAAATTCATGGGGTGACACCACATGAGGATTAGAACAAAAGTCTTTTCGAATCCGTTTCTTTTTTTGTCGCAAAAATGACAAGATTGACAATAAATTATATGAACTTGAGTAATAAGTAATAAAAAAAGGATGATCCGATGAAATGGGTGATTATCATAATCCTTATTCATGTCTTAAGCCTCCCGAACGATATTCATTGTTTACTTACCACTTTATCTACTTATATAAATCAAGGAGGGGGTTGTTGGTTGATACGTTTTCTACAGCTTATCAACCCATTGCAGATTATTGAAAGACATTGTTTTTAGATAATAATGGTTTAGTGATACAAGTCTTACTAATTAACCCATAGCTCGGGGAGAAGAAGTGGATTCATGCCTTTCCCCCACAGGGTATTTGCGCTTAAGTGAATATAATGAGCCCAACGGGAATTGGAACTAAGCACTATGATTAAAAATTCCGTGCCTTTATTCATTAACTCCCCACCCCACATGTACATGTTTGCAGCACCTAGTATTCCCAAGCGATCATTCAGCTATGTACTGACCAGGCTCGACGTTGCTTAACTTCGGCGATCGTACGAGAACCGGTGTTTCAACGCAATATAGCCGTAAGCCGCATCAAGGAGGAGCACTTTGACGTGATGTCATGGTTAACAAGTTTGTCTCGCTAGATCAATTACATCTGAGTAGTATGTTCGATCCTCACTGGGTGCTCCATACTTTCGGGCCTTGTGCGACATCTAAGCTACATTTAGAAAATTATTATAGGAATGAAGGAGGTGTGACCTAAAAATACGGGATATTTAAATATTGCGTGCAAATACCGCCACTCTGAATCGTGATGGTAATATTAGTTTCCTTATAAGGAAACATTTGGTATTCATTGACTGAGCAGCCAGTGCTGCTCGAGTTACACTTTTCTTCAGTCGCTGGCCATCGGAGTGGGATCAAAGTGTAGAATCTGCCTTCGGGTGGATGAACTACATTTTATCTATCAACTGTATTTCTGTCTTCGGGTAGAACAGAACAAATAAATGTGGAATGCCTGGTTCAACCTGGCGGCAGCACCTCCCTCATTTCATCAAATAGGGTACGTGGAATATTGTCACCAGCGCGATGTTCGTTGAAGGCACTGGACAACTTTTGGCCTTGGCCTATGTGCACACGCTTGTACTCCACACTTTAAACCGGCGTTGTGTCATATCCCTGGGGAAACGAGTAAATAATAACTGTAGTAAGTTTCCGTCAACTGTAATGGTAAAATTAGCCGTTTCCTTATAAGGAAACATTCACTGACCAAGCAGCCACTTCTACTTCAGTTACACTTTTCTCCACTCCCTGGACTTCGAGCTAGGATCAAAGTGTAGTATGTGTTTTCCTTATCTCTAATGGTAATGGTAATATTAACCGCTTCTTTATAAGGAAACATTCATTGACCAAGCAGCAAGTCCTACACGAATTACATATTTTTTCCACTCTCTGGATATCGGGCTAGGATCAACGTGTAGTATGTGTTTTCCTCATCTCTAATAGTAATGGTAACATCAGCTGTCTCCTTATAAGGAAACAGTCAGCATTTATTGACCCTGCAACCATTGTTGCGTTTGGTTTGTAAAATCCTTTGCTTAAAACATTTTTCAATACGCTTATATTATTTTGTAACGTTTCCTTCGTTTTACCCTTTCAACATCGACGGCAAGAGTGGGTGTCAAGAAAAAAATTTCATGGTTAAATCCGCAAATATATATATATATATATATATATATATATATATATATATATATATATAAACGTTATTTTAATGGCTGACAGTATTTGAAATGCCACAGTTTATTTTTTGTTTCAAACAGAATGTATTACGTCAATCAACTTACGCACTCGAGAAATCTCAACAAAGCAAACGTGCTCTCCGGCTTGGATCAAAGTTGCTGGTGGGAGGATTATCTATCTATCTATCTATCTATCTATCTATCTATCTATCTATCTACTCACAATCTATCTGTCGGTCTCACCCTTCATATCTATATTAGTCTCTTCATATCTATTTATTATTGGAAATTTATTTAAATTCTCACAACCCAATTAACGCCACATTACAGTGACTTGATATGGAAAACAATTAATTTAGAAAATTGCATCAAGTTCACGTGACATCGAATAAATAAAATAAAGCTGAAAATAACTGAAGTATCATATTTAAAATCGAGGCACAAAGTCCTCACAAAAATGAGTGACTGATTTGTTTTTTACGGTTTGTCAACCTTTTGCAGAAAATATCTGGAGATAATAATTAATCCATAGATGCAGGGAAAAGATGTGGATTCATATCTTTCACAAGGATATTTGCACATAAGTGAATATAAGGAACCCAGCTGGAATTGGAACAAGGCTCTCCTCGATTTCCAATTCCGAGCCTTTATTCCTTACACCCACCGCCCACACATCCAAGCTTATAGTACTTGGTATTCCTGAGCAGTCACCCACCTACTGAAAGTTGCTTATCATACGGGAACCGGTGTTTCAACTTGTTATGGACGTAATTCTGAAGTAAGTTGAAAGACTAAAATACAGACATGATCTGCAAAAATTAATTAATAAAAACCGGAAATTAATTCATCAATTTGAAAATAAAAAAATTAAATATCATATTTGCAATTTCTTTATTTAACGAAATATGTTTGGGCGGGTATTTGCCGTCTAAATTTATTCAATCCAATCAATCAATCAATCAATATTTCTGTTTGTCTGTCTTTCTCGATATCGCCATGTGATCTATGGAGGAGAAAATCGTGATTATATGAACGACAACCTTCAAAACTTCACTCTTAACGGAATCCGCAGTAAAAAAAGCTCTCTTTGTTAAGACTCAAAGAGAATTGTTATGAGGAATTGCTGGAATTTGATTAAAGATTTATTGCTCAATGCTACACTGAGCTAGTAACAAAGCTTATGTATTTCTCCGACAGAAATGAGGTTCTCATTTTTGTGCAAAAAGAGGCTTCACAGTCATCGAAATTTGAATTGTCAGAGCTTTCTTTTTTGACCAATGAGAGCACTCGAAGAAAGGATGCTTCCTTTTTCCTGTTACTTGCAGACGATTTTCAGAAAAACAGTAGAATCAAAACACCGTAAATTACCTTTCAACTTAAATTATTAATAAAAAAATTGACTAAATATATAGAAAAAATATAATTGCTAATTTTGGGACGCAATTTTGAACCTATTATTTTCTATAAATTTCAATAACTAATCTTGTTTATCAAGTATTTTGTAAAAAAAAAATCGTATATTTCACAACTTCAATTATTCATAGGTCAAAAATGTATATTCAACTCTCCATACAAATTTTATTTCTCACTCCCTTTCATTTTATTATCAGCATTGTTTAAAATAAACTTTTCTATGTGCCATGTCCCTTCAGAAGGTGGGTGATCATGGTTCTCCACAACTTTCTGTACTTAACAAATTTTGTCTTTTTGCTATCTCTCCTATACCCTGTTTTGCTAACCATTTACACTAGCTCGTTAGTTAGGTTATTCATTACTTTCCATTGTATCCCATACCTTCAATATGTACCGTGAGTGTCAAATTTTCCAAGCCCTCTTACCTCATTATGTGCCCTAGAAATTTCAACTGTCTCTTTCTGATGTTAAGTATAAATGCCCTTTTTGTTTCCATTCTTTTCTAAAATTTCGTCTTTGCTCACATGTTCAGTCTATGCCATCCTTAGTATCCCTCTGTAGAACCCATATTTTGCGCCAAGTCTTTTCTTCATATCTGACGAGATTGTCCAGTATTTACTGCCATATAGAAGGACCGATATTATATAATACTTAAGTATTCTTTTCTTTGTAACGAGATTTTCTTGTTTCTTAATAGTTTTCTTAGCTTTTGGAAGGCATCTTTCGTTAACCCAGTGTGCCTTCGGATTTCAGTGTCGCATTTTCTTGACGTTAAATTACGCCAATGTTTCCAGGATTTTTTATGAAGTCTCTTCTTCATCTGTGAGGAAAATGTTCAGCATTCACTGCCATAAAGGATGAGCGACATTACATGACAATTTAGCACTCTTTTCTTACGTCATTTATATCTTCAGCTGAATTTACCTATTGTCGCATTATGGTTGCTACTTCTACTACTGCTACAACTACTACCGATACATATGCATATACGCTTTCACAGTAAAAATAATTTTGCATATTAAACACAAAAGGGAGACAAAGCCCACGTAAATACTATTTGACGATATCTCATGCTGTATTTCGATGTAATTACACCACTATGCTTATGAACATTTTAAAATATACCGTATTTGACGGCATATAAGACGCACGGGTGTATAAATTTCAGTAGGGCAAATCAAGAAAAAATTAGTAATTCGTAAAATTATTAGTAAATCGAACAGTCTAGACTATATTTATGAGGTATTATTTTGGTTAAACAAGCCATGATCACAATTAAACGAATAGGAAAAAAGAACAGGAGCCTATAAAATATTTATATTATCCAAAGATAAGAAAACAAAATAAAATTCAATCAATTGTTACAACTGAGCAAAACAGTACAGTTACCATTAAAATTTTATTCATCTTCAAATCCATAAAATTCGTTGTCTTCGTTATCAAAACTCTGATGCTATCATCGTCATTAAATAATGCTCCATCTAATTTTGGCTGACTATTGCGAATTTTAAACCTGCATATCGCATATGAGACGCCGGAGAATTTTAAAAGATATTTTTAGTAAAAAAAAAAAAAGAAAAAAGTACGCCTTATATGCCGTAAAATACGGTAATTCAATTTGTTAAATTCGTAGAAGTATTTCATATTCCGTTTTTCCACAATTTTATTCCTCATTGGTGACCTTGTGGAAGCTCGCTTAAATGATGAAAATCGTTCTGTAGAAAGACGACCGACCTTTTCTACACTAATTGTTGAACATTGAGACTCATCCACCCGCTATGAGTAGAACATCTATTTACATGACCGGTCGTTGCATAGTGAAACGTACGCATTGCCGCACTGGATTCTATTACTGCATCATAAAACCATGTCTCTCATGTGATTAAACCTGTTCTTCTTTCAACTTTTTCTTTTAGTGTTTCCTTACGGCATTATTTACCAGAACTATGAGAGTTATACAAACATTATAACAACCTCTCCACCACCACCACCATCGAAAAAAAATTCTGCAAATGCAATGTAGTAAGCTCTAATGGGGCCGAGATGAGGAATTCGCACAGATTTGATATCTAGACCAATTATTGTCGGACAATCATTTATTTCAGCCTATGAAACACTTTTTGCCAATTCAGCGCTTTCAAAATTTACGCGACTAGGCGCTACTCATTTACTCTTATTAAATTGATTGATTTGTTTCTTTATGGCTTATCAACCCATTGTAGGTTATTTAAAGCCGAAATATATTTTGGACTGTGAGAACAAATTTTTTGCGAGTCACTATGATTTTCAAGATACAAGTCCTACTATTTAACCCCTAGCTGGTGAGAGGTGTTGTATATTCATGCCTTTTCGAAAGGTATTCATGCGTAAATAAATTCGACTGGAATTCGAACTCGGCTCTCCGATTTCACATTCAGAGGCGCTATCAAT